GAAAGAGATTGCTGAGCTTGTTGGTGTACTAAGGACCTAACAGCTTAGATGTCATTTGACTTGGAATTCTGGATAAACACCAGATAGATGCCATCAGAGAGAAAAAGTATGTGAGTCAGTGCCATAAAGAGGCCTGGGATTCTCTATCTAGACTGGTGTAAACAGATAGCACTCTGCAACTCCTTCCACTTGCCCAGAATGTACCAATAGCTACAGTTTGATAAACGTCAGCTTTTATTCCCCTAAATTCACCATTATAGAGTGAATGAGAGAGTGGGTAGAACTACCAGCAATAGTCATACAGAACCTGAAACAAAAAGAAAGTCAGCAGAGGAAACAGGAAGTCCTGTAATTTGCATCCTAAGGAAGATGGTCTTTCAAGGGCTTCTGCCTATATGGTCCTCAAGTTGCAACCAAATAAGGAAACCCTGAGCAGCATTTGCCTCAAGGACAGAGCATTTTTTAGTCACAGAACTACCACTAGTCGTAACTACCACTTATGGCAGTACGATTTACAATGGCAGTACAATTTCTTCCAAGGAGATGGATGAGCTACATATTTAGGGACTTTTCTTTGTCTTTCTTTGTTCTCTTTCCAAAGTGATCCATAAAATGACCAATGTTCTGCACTTCTGCATTGCTTTGTCAGGTGAGGAATGACCCTTTAGCGCTCTGCTCTGCCTGCTCCAGCGGCGTTGGTCCCACTCTGAAACCAGACTATACTGGTGATGACATCAGAAGCTTAATCACACTTCATATAAGGTCACAGGTACAATTTTCAGATTTTATTGGAGGTTTTGGTTCTTTCTGATTTGAGATTGATCTGCTGATAATGTCTAAAAAGGTGAACAATATTTCTATTGGTTCCTTCACCTAGATCATGATAGCATGTGAAGCTATGTATTTCCTCCTTTGTAGTCATTTGTGAGATACAGAGAAGCCCATGCGAAGGTTGGTTTAGGCAGTGTTTAACAGAGAGTGAAGTTTCATCTTTCTGCAATCAGGATGGCAACAAAAGAACATCTTTCTACTCCAGGGTTGTGTCTGCTGCTTCTCTCTGTTCAGGTCTCCCTGGGTAAGTACATACTCTATTTCACATAAGGCAGTGAGATAGGAAAAGAATATAAATTCAGTATAAACAGGTTGTTCCATCACCTTGTATGACAAAGAGTCAAGAAGGTGTTTAAATACCTTTCTGTCTTTGATTCAGTCTCCGTGGTGATCCTGAGAGAACGAAGGGTAAGCCACCTGCACATCATCTGTGTTTTACTCGGGTGTCAGCGACTGGCCACTCTCCTCGGAATTAGAATCCAAGTTTAGTAAACAGCCAAGCTAGAATGGAAACCTGCTGGGTATTCTTACTGCTGTCTTGTCTCCCCTGTTGAGCTCTCTATAGGCACAATCAATAACCCCAGGTCCTCTGCAACACCAGTTAAAATGGTGTTGTGAACAAATGATGCTCTGTGTCCCGCGGAGTCCGGCTGGGTAACGTACCGTCACCTCTGTGGTTCCTGCACGTCTGAAGCTTATTACTATTTCTCTCTCTGCTCTTCTAGAGCAATGTGTACATGTTTGAAGCTGATGATGAGAAACAAATATTTGGAATCCTCATTTTTGTCTCCATCCCTGTGGAGGTGGCTCTACGGCACACGGTGGTCACATCGCCCTGTGATGAGAACAAGACCTCACGGCTGATACTTTGATGTAGCACAGGCCACTCTTACAGCTTCTCCTCGGCTGCGTTGGTGCAGTCGCAGTTCAGGTGGAGGGGAAGAGGAGGCACAGGCATTTCTGTGCAAAGGAGCGTGAAGGACAACACTAACATTTGTGTTTAGACTTCTTTGTAGCAGTGTGAGCGTCAGCTGAACGGTACTGTAGAAATGAGAGCGAGTTTCCTGGCAGCCGTTTTAATATCAGGGAATTGTAACAGAGAGCCCGGCTGGCAGATGCACCAGAGTAGCTTTAGCTTGGCACCACCATCAGCACCTAGGACCCGTCCCTGCTCTGATGGGACCTGCGCTCCGTGCTACCGCAGCCCCCGCAGTGCCCAGGGGGGTGCACAGGCACAGCCCACAGGGTGTGAGCAGCAACCTGCAGCTGAGGGCAGTGCTGGAATCCTCCACTCAGGACCTGGGCACAGGGATGCACGGCTCATTCTCATCCCAGGCCTATGAGGGAAACCAGGTACTCAGCTGGAGCAAGCCAAAGTCTGATGTCTTCTTTCTTAGCCGAGCAGAACCTCACTATATGACTAGTCCCCCGGAATTCAATGAAGGTATTTGTGGGACATGCTGTGGAATGTGAGGAAATACAGGAGTTGCCTGTAGGTATCACTAAAAAGTCACAGAAGATTGATTGCAGCAAGTGATAGTTTTGATAAGGAAATGTTTAAATCTGTTGATTGAGTTGTGCCTGACTCTGCATCCACCTTTGCATGCTGTCGTGTCTCAAAAACAGCAGACGTTGGATTTTTTTAAAAATCCCAATGTAGAGAGGTTGATCACTCAAATGAGGAGCTGTTTGTTTTACTCCTGGATATGGCTAATGGAAATGGTTATCCAGTTCCTTTAATAATGTATTATGAATTTAGCTTTTCTTAGAAATTATTTCTCTTTTAAAGGCTTGTTGCATTAGCATGGACTGATGCTCATGGGTTAACACTGACACACTCACACGGAATAGACAGAGGAATCAGACTAGTTTCTGGGTAACCCCTTCCAGTGCTCAGTCATCCTCGGGGTAACAAAGCATTTTCTGATGTTCAAACAAAGCCTCCTGTGTTCCCACTTTTGCCCATGCCCTCTGGCCTTCTTATCCATTTACTCTATTTTCCCACTCTTGGTCCTGCCTAAATATCCTTGATCCTTCCTTCCCCCCCGCCTTGATTTCGCTCTTAAACATCCCATAATAAGCTTTGTGAAATTTCAAGGTGCACTTCTCCTGCATCCCATAGTGTCCCATACCCTCTAGGCAGTAGCCCTCAGTCTCTGAGGTGACGTGATGTTCTGCCAGTTAACATCCCATCAGGAAAGACAAGGCTGTCAGCAGAAAAGTCAGTATAAACTGATCATCTCTTTTCTGTCAATGGAAAAACAGCCCAGCCAGTCACAGGTACAACAGAGGAAACCATGAATTCAAACAACATAGAAGATGCAAACAGCACAGTCTGACTAATAACGGGTGGAACAAACAAAGCAACAACCCCACTCACTGCAGGTGACACAACAGAGAAAAAGAGGAAGGAAAGTAAGGAACCCAACACCCCACAAAGCCATCCTGTGGGAAATGCCAGCTGAGATCAGGGCTGGACTTTACCTTATTGCTCAGAGACAGTCAGAGGGTCCTTCCCATGTCACAAGGAAGCTCTGCCTGGTGCACCCACCAACAGATAAACCCCCAAATATCTCCCCCAGCAGGGGCTGCTTTAACCTTGTTCTCTTCACAAGCAGGACACCTGCTGCTGATCACCCCATTGGCTTTTGTCCATGATTGGCCAGGCCCTGGGCCAAAGCCAACAGAGATGTTTGGGTGCTCCTCTGGCCTTTCCCAAAACAGCTGATTTCCTCACAATTGTCTCTGCAGAGAAACTAACTCCTCATAACATCTCTGCAGAGACAAGAATCATCACACATCTCTGCAGAGAAGGGAATTGTCCATATGTCAAACCCCAGCTCTGGGCACTCCACATGAAAAGCCCTCATGTTCATCTGCTGGGTTTCACACCTGGACAAAGGGGCTGGTTGCTCTGCTGGGATAGCCCCAGAAGGGCTAAACAGAGACACAACTCCCTGGGGGAAAACAAACAAACAAAAGAACCAAACAACCTTTAAATTGGCCTGTTTAGAAAGGCAAACCAAATAAGCCTGATTTAAGAGTAATTTAAGAGTAACAATAATCTCATTCACCATTGGCAATAGATAATCCTGGCTCAGCACTGTCCTTTCCATAACTTTGCTCTGTCTCTGTGTATGAAGGTGCCGATGAATTGAGGCTGTCAAATGGAACTGGACCCTGCTCTGGGAGAGTGGAAGTAAAACACAATGAGACATGGGGAACTGTGTGTGATGGTGACTGGTCCATAGAAGATGCTGAAGTTGTTTGTAAGCAAATGCAATGTGGATCTGCTGTTCAGGCCCTCAACCGAGCTCCTTTTGGAGAAGGATCTGGCCCAACGTGGCTGTACCGAGTTGACTGCCGTGGTGATGAACGTGCCCTCTGGAGCTGCCCACACGCAGGATGGGGTGCCTTCACCTGCCCCCACTACTTTGATACTGGCGTGACGTGCGCAGGTAAGAAGTCATCCAACCCTGAATAACAGAAAAATGCTACAAGGCTGAGATCAAACACTGTTCTAGCTGGGTAGAGCCAGGTACTGCACAGAGGTCTCACTCTCTCCATGGGCTCTGCTCAGCCAAAGCATTAAGTCTTCTGCTTCACTCAGTGGACACATGATGGTTCATCTGCTGTGATCTCAAAGTGCAAAAGAAAGCCAGAGGGATTTTACTTCAGTCAAACAGTGGAACTTTATTGTCTCCCTGTAAAGTGGCATGCAACAGGTAAAAGAGTGACAGGAAAGGTAAAGAGGGGAAAGAGAGTGACAGCTCCTACTACAGGTCCAAGGAGTCCCTATGGTCCCAGATCCAGGCAGCATCCTGCTGGTCCTTCCTCGTCGTGATCCTCGGTGGGGAAAGCTTCCCAAGTTCAGCTGCTAAGAAAACTTCTGTTATGCCTAGTGATGCACCTTGCTCCTCCTCTGTCCCAGGACCCCTGCCAGCCCCACGCATGCCCAGGGAGGAGTGTCCGAGGCGTGGTCTGCCTTAGAGCCAGGCAGCTTTGGGCCAGGAGGTTGTTTCTGTATTATAATGATATTTTAATGATATTATAATGAGCAAGGTTCACCCAAAGTTTGCGATTTCTTCATTAGTGCTGAGGCAGCACTGGACCAGGAATGGGGGCTAGAAGCAGGTGTAGATAAAGAAGCAAGAAAATGCTGTGTTATGCCATATAACTGCCCTTCTCCAGGTCTTCGTGTAAGCCAAGACATGCCAGGCTGCAATGGCAAACAAATCCAGTGTCTGTTTGGCTGCCTTCCTCTGCAAGAAGTGCTTGGTTTTGCTCTTCAGATCAAATACCATTGCAAGAGATTTTTCCTTCCCAGCTTCAGGACATTTGTCCTTTTAGATTTTTGTAAGGTTCTTGTCAGCCCATTAATCCAGCCTGCCTACGTCCCTCTGAATGGCAGCTCTGCCCTTGGGATTATCTCCCCCCACTCCCCAACTGACAAGAGTGCACCCCATGACCTCCTCCAGGGTGTTGGTAAAGATGCTGAACAGAGCAGGGAGCAGGAAAGACCCAATGAGCAGTATTGCACTTGTTGCCAGCCGCCAGGTAGAGTGCCACCCACTGACCACTGCTCTCTGAGACTGAGCATCCACCAGCCTTTTAACCACGCAGTCGTCCACCCACTCAGACCATAATGTCCTGGTTTAGACACACGAATATTGTGCAAGACAGTGTCAAAGGCCTGGCTAAATGTGAGGTAAATTACACACGCTGGTCTGCCCTCCTTCACAAAACCAGTCACTTTTATCAGAGGAAGTAATGCAGTCACAGGCAGGGTTCACCCTTGGTAAATCCATGCTGACTCTTCCCACTTACCCTCTTGTGCCCAGAAATGTGTTCCAGGAGGACTCACCCCACGGTTTTTCCCAAGTAAGACCATCCAGCCTGCAGATCTCAGACTGTCCCTTCAGGCCTTTCTGGAGATGGGTGCAGCATTTCCTGTTTCCTCTTTCTGGGGCACTTCTGCTTCCCGCTCATCTGAATAACAAAGTCAGAAGGACACACACTAGTCAATGTCTATTTATTTGTTTGTTTGGAGACTGTTACTTCTCAAGCATTTAGCAAATATTCAAAACTTCCCCCTTCTTTAGCTTCCCAAGGATTTAGTGTTTTCACATGCTAAGAAATAAGTATTCACACCCATCATTTTGTCTCATCAGCGGCACACAGGAGTTGTCACAATGGTTATTTAAAAGTGTTGGTGGTCCTCAGAGCAGTGACATGTGTCTGGGCCATGAAAGTATGGGAGTTACTAAGTCAGCTCAGTGCAGGCAGTCTTTGATGCCAGCTTTCCTGGTTCTTTTCAGGTTTCTCTGGGCTGCGCCTGGCCGCAGGGCAGACTGCCTGCTCGGGGCGTCTGGAGGTGCAGCACCAGCAGAGCTGGGCTGCAGTGTGTTTTTCACACGTCGATTTCCAAACCGCCTCCGTCATATGTCAGGAGTTAGAGTGCGGCCAGGCTGTGGATGTTCTGAGAGGAGCTCACCTTGGAGACAGTCACGAGCTGACCTGGCAGGAGGAGTTCCGCTGCGTGGGGAACGAGACGCGCCTGGCGCACTGCCCCCGGACGCTGCGCCGCGGGCACGCCTGCTCTCATGGTGCCACCGTGGTATGCTCAGGTGAGGCTGGGCTGATGGATGTAATCTACATGTGCCCCATATGCCTTCTTCCTGCCAACCTGCAGTTCAGAGCCTCTGCATATTCCTGTGGTTCTCAGGGTTCTTGGGTTCTTCCCCTGTCACTCCTTGAGCAACCCAAGGAAGACCAGGAAGTAACACAGAGCAGCCCCACAGCTCACTCTGAGAGCCTGCATCCAACAGGAGCTCTGCTAACCACCTCACTTCTGCCCCAGGGAGCCAGATCTCAAAAGAACTGTAACTTCTTCCATGCAGCTAGAGGTATGCACTCAATAGTGCTGAGAATTCCTTCCATGTCTTTCTCATATACATAAAGGGAGAGGTGATCAGAGCAAACAAGCAGGAACACAGATAAATTAATTTATTTTCTGTGCTGCCAGTGTGATGTTAATCCCCATCACTTCAGTTAATTATAAAACTGGGAGAGGTTACCATACCTCCAAAAGGTCAAAGGAGACACAAGGTAGAAGTTTAAGTTATTTAAAAAAAAAAAAAAAAAAAAGAAAAAGAAAGAAAGAAAGAAAGAAAGAAAGAAAGAAAGAAAGAAAGAAAGAAAGAAAGAAAGAGAGAAAGAAAGAAAGAAAGAAAGAGAGAAAGAAAGAAAGAAAGAAAAAAAGAAAGAAAGAAAAAGTTGTCAGAGACCTGGATGACTTTCGTTCTGACTGCCAGGCAACGTTATTTGAGAACTGCACACAGCCATGGCTGCTGGGGCCTCTAAACACATCTAACTTACTGCCACCCACTACAAAAGTGATGATTAGACCTAGCAAACACAACTTTTTTCCCGAGGACACAATTCAAAAGGCACAAACAGAACATGTGGCAGAGCTGCTGGCAACACCCATCACAAGACAGGCCTGGGAAGGATGGCAGCTCATCTCCCTTCCCTGCCGAGGGGCTGTGGTCTCACAGACTGCCCTGGACACTGCCCCACTGGCTGTGTGGATCTGGAGTGCTGGCTGGGGAGCCAGACGGTCCAGCTGAGGGGTCAGTAACTGAGAGGCCTTGGGTCCAGCCTCCACAGTGCAAGAGTCACAGCTCAGAGTGGAAATCCACGCCCGACTAGGGGGAGCACAACGCCAGGACGAGGCAGGGCTGGGAGGTAACTGTGGGAATGCCCAGGGCCTGGCTGGGGCCAGCAGCAGCACTCCACAGCCTCACCCACGCTGCCCCTGGATCGCTGCAAACACGCTGCTGGGCACGGCCCGTTTTGCTCAGAGCCCTGTGCTGTGGCACGGGCTAAAGCTGAGCCCTGCACCCTGTGCTTGCTGCTCACCAGCTGCTGTGAGCTGCCCGAGGACTGGGAGAGGGGGTGCTGCTGGTAGCTCCTACCCCGAGCAATTACCTGCTAAGGTCCTTTATTCTTCCTGCAGGCTATGGTGGGTACAGGCTGGCAAACGGCAGCAACGCATGCTCAGGAAGAGTAGAGCTTCTTCATGGAGGCACATGGGGAACCCTGTGTGACTACCTGTGGGATCTACCAGCTGCCAACGCCCTGTGCCAGCAGCTGGACTGTGGAGTTGCCCTGCTGGTACCAGGTGGCCAGTCCTTCGGGCAGGGGAACGGCTCTGTGTGGAACGGCACCTTCAGCTGCAGGGATGGCTCCCAGCCCAGAGGCTGTCCTGTGAGTGTGCTCGGCCAGGACGAGTGCCCTGCTGGGAACGACGCCCGTGTGGTCTGTTCAGGTGAGCAGCAGACAGGCCCAAGAGGAAAACTGAAAAGTTCCTTCGTTGAGGAAACAGGCGGACCCGAAATCCAGAGGGTGTCTGTGGAGCCAGGCTCCATCTTTTGCCTGCTGCTACAGGCGCTCCCAGGAGTTGAGGCTGCCCCTCACTTGCACCACAGGACTGCTCTCCATGAAATGCTCCCAGTGTCAGGGAACACCAAGAACAGGGCTGCTCCACATGGTAGGATGAGCTGGGGACAGAGGGTGAGGACAACACAAGCAGTGCCCTTACCCATCAAGGCACAGTCCAAAGCACGTGCATAGAGGACAGAGGAAGATACTGGTAACAAGGTCTGTGGGCAGTCTCAGACAAGGCAAAGTAATCAATCACATGTAGGGTCCAGCTGGAGAGGACACTTAGGAGTAGCAGAAGAAGAGACTGGAGATAGTTACACCAGTCACATAGCTGAGGCAAGGACTGAAGTCCTGGTCCAGGTTTAAGTGACTCCTTGGACCAGTAGCCTGAAGGTGCATAGCTGATGGCCCTAAGTGAGGCTGGTCAGAACAATTAAGATCTATTAGTTCGCCCAGAGCTCTGAAACCTAGTGTCCTGAGCTTAACAGTTGCAAAGGGGAGCAGATCCTGATTTCTAGTCATTCTTCTCAGTAAAACAGGGCGGGCTGAAGTCTAGTTATGAGTATGGAAGTTTCAGTGGCCCAGTGGAGCCGTTTTGGCTACCGAATACTAAGGAATTACCATTTCCCGGTCACTTTCAGGTCACACCCATGAGCAGTTATGAACGTGCCATCTCAGTACCCACTTTCTCTTCTATGCAGGGTGCCCAGGGGGCAGGTTGGTGGGTGGCACCACGTGCTCTGGCAGAGTGGAGATCCGCCACGGAGACACGTGGGGAAGACTCTGCCGCTCCCAGTGGACCCTGCAAGCTGCCAACGTTCTCTGTCGCCAGCTGAACTGTGGCTATGCCAGATCAATCCAGACAGGAGAACACTTTGTCGAGGGGAACGGGCCTGTGTGGAGAGATGCTTTTCACTGTGAAGGGACAGAGTCCTGCCTGTGGGATTGTGCTCAGGTGACTCTGGGCAATCCAAACTGTTCAGAAGCAGCCACCGTTATTTGCTCAGGTAAGTCAGGAGTGGCCTTTTATAAGAAGAGCAACGTCAGATCAAATCAGCCTTGCTGACCAAACTCTGCCAAGCAAGTCTGGTATGTCAGCCTGTCTTTAATGCCCTCTCCTCTCCTCTCCTCTCCTCCCCTCTCCTCTCCTCTCCTCTCCTCCAGCACTCCAATCTTAGTTTCAGCATAGACACTTCATTCAGCAGAGAGACTCACCCTGTGTCTCTGTGCCTGAGCCCTCACAGGAGCTGCTCTCTGAACTGAGGGAGCCTTTCTCACTTCCCCTTGTAGACCCACAGTGTGCATGGAGTAAACAAAACCTTACAGAGGCTGTCTCCTTAACCACTGGGGAGAGTTATGTTCTTACCAACATAGAGATTTGTCTTCCATGCCTCTCCTGCGTGTTGTGTTTACTGCAGTAAGAGCAGCAGATCTTATTCAATGTATTTTCCAACTCTCTTGAGCCCAGGTCTTGCAGAGCCACTGAGACTCTCGGGTGGTGAGAGCCGCTGTGAGGGGCGAGTTGAGATCTCGCTCCATGGCGTGTGGAGCAGAGTCCTGGATGATGACTGGGACATTAAGGATGCTCAGGTGGTATGCAGGCAGCTCCAGTGTGGAATTGCTCAGAAAGCCTACTCCCTTCCCAAATCCGAGCGAGGTGTGGGTCTTGTTGGCTTACGAAGTGTGCAGTGTGCTGGAAATGAGACTGAGCTGATGCTCTGTAAGACCTCCCGCTCTCAGACGGCGCCCATGGGAGTTGCTGAAGACGTTGGTGTGATCTGCTCAGGTGAGTCAGAGCCCCAGAGTGGCAGAACGCTTCTTAGGATTCCCTCTAGCCCACCTTGTGCTGTAGTCTCATGGGTCTGAACTTAGGATATTCACTTGCTTGAATACTATAAGAAACAAATGATAGTTAAGGAAGCAAGTGTAATTTTCCTAATTTCTTAATCTGAATTTCTTAAAGAATTTACCTCCCAGAATCAATAAGTAACAGAATACTGAAGCCATAAGAACACTAATTTGGACATGACTGTCACACATTGGGACTGTCATTCAGGAATTAAACAGGCTTTATTCTGTAACATTTCTATATTTATAGACACCCGTGGCCTGTCTAAAGTAAATGAGAACTGTTTGTACTCTTATTTTGTAACCCATCAGCAGCAGAAGCTGCCTCTAACTAAAGCAGTTTAGATAGAAAACAGCTGCTCCAGCTTTCTGAGATGAAGGGAGGCGTGTATGTACTTAGCATGGCTGGGCACCCCTTGTTTGCAGCACCCCACAGGACTATTCAATCATTTACCTGACGCAGAGCAGGCCTTTGCCTTCGGTTTTAGCACCACGGGGGGTCTGCCCAGGGCAGTGTAACAGAGCTGGGATGCAGCTGGAGGGGACGGCCTGGAGGTGGCCGGGCGTGGCGCGGGCTGGCAGGCGGCTCTCCCGCAGGCAGC